AAGTTATCACAACTCACCCAAACAACGGCTGCCAGTTCATCGTCGGGTACTAACTTGTCTCCTACTGATCAAGACAAGTGTTATGTTGAGGTATAAAATCAATTTTATTTTTTCAATCTTTATATTATATTATTACTGATTAAATAATTTATATATAATATACATTATTTTGTAGTCTGTTGAGCGGAACAAAGGCCACATCTACGGTTTAGGAGGCCTCCAGAGAGGTTTGCTGCAAGATTTTGGATCACCGGTTCATCCCCAAGTACAGATCGATACCGACCAACAACGTCGGATAGAACAACTTGAACGATCGCTCCAACATCAGAAGGAAGAGACGGAGCGGCAGATTGCAGAACAACAGGCGAAGATAACTAATCTCGAACACATGATCGAGCTGCTTAGAGGAGTTCATCCTCCACCTCCCTCAACGACACATTCAGCCGGCGGAACCTCCAGCGCTCGAACTCCCGGAACCACCGAAGATGAAGAAACCGAAAGTTTGAATTAGTTTCCAGTTATCTAATTTTATAATTTGTATCGAACCTCGTTTAATTATATGGTTTAATATTTTTATTTTAAATATTTATATTTTTAATTTATAATTTTTATTTTTTTAATATATATATATATATATATCCGAACATCAACGGATGTGTCCGTTGACAAATAATATTATCAACGGACAGCCGTTGCTAACCCCGTTGATATTATTGACGGATTTTTCCACCGATCGCTGTTGTTGCAAATTTGCAACGGTTTTTAGCAACGGATATACGTTGAAATATGGAACGGATTTATTCGTTGCAAAATACGTTGACATATATCAACGGATTATTCCGTTGCCCTGCCGTTGCTATTATCAACGGACTTTTATCGTTGATAATCCGTTGACAGTTTCAACGGTTGGTAACGGATTCTGGATTTCAACGACCGTATTGCAACGGATGATGTTCGTTGAATATTCCGTTGAAAACGTTGATTTTCAACGGATATTTGGGCTATTTCAACGGAAAAATCCGTTGATATTAGGGGTTTTTTTTGTAGTGTCATAGCTTGAATATGGTTGAGCTTGAATTGGGTTATCAAGTCGAACTTGGACCTAATGGTAAGGATGGGATGAGAAACATGCAGTGATAGAGTATCACTATCCCATACTCATCTAGGAATCACATAGGATGTGATTGACAATGTGTTGTCTACCTAAATAGCATGGTTTTGAGCGTCATGCCCTAGCTGACTCAGAAGCATGTGAAATATGGATCCTAGCTCACTTAGAAACTTATTGAGGGTGTTTTTCTTAGTGGGAGCCTGTCATGTTGCATCTATTGTCTGTGCTAGTAGGAGTACTAAGCGATGTGTTTATTTTTTGTCTGTTTGTCCTTTTCTGTAGAATATATCTGTTGTAGGAATCTGATTAATCTTACCATGCGATCTATCCTTATGAAGGATAAGCCTCTGACCAAGGCTTCTAGATCGATCATTGATGCTTATGGGAAGCATATGGATGATGGTCCAGACGTGTCCAGCTTGATGTTTGGAAAGATGTCTTCGGAATTGCGCGAGAAATTAGATTACATGGACAATTCATTGATGGTTGATCAGTTGAATGTGTCATTCCAATAGAAAGTTAGGAGCCAAGGGAAGAATGATATGGTAGTTGTTGGAAAGAGTTCCAGCAAAAGGAAGCGTTCCAAAGGTAAGGGCAAGAGGAAAGTGACAAGTGTTGTCACTAAGCCTAAGTCTAAACCCAAGAAGGAAGAGTGTTATTTCTGTCATGCTGTTGGGCATTGGTATAGAAATTGCAGACTCTACCTGGAAGATCAGAGGAAGAAGAAGTTTGCAGAAGCTTCGACTTCTGGTATCTTTGTTATAGAGACTAACTTGTTTACTTCTACATCGTGGATATTGGATACCGGATGTGCCTCGCATATTTGTGCAAATATGCAAGGACTGCGGGGAAGTAGCCAATTGGCGAAGGGAGAAGTAGATCTCCGCGTCGGGAATGGAGCAAAAGTTGTTGCATTAACCGTCGGGACTTACGATCTGACTTTACCGTCTGGCCTTGTATTGGAGTTACATGATTGTTATTTTGTACCTGCAATCAGCATGAACATTATATCGATCATATAGCTACGATTACGACTCACTACGACCATATAACTATGACTGCGACTCACTACGACTGTATAAGTAGGACTACGACCAGATAATTAAGACTGAGATTTCATTATGACCATATAACTACGACTACGATTCACTACGACCATATAACTACGACTACGACTCACTACGACCATATAACTAGGACTACGACCACATAATTAAGACTGTGATTTCATTACGACCATATAACTACGATACCATATAACTAGGACTACGAACACATAATTAAGACTGTGATTTCTTTACGACCATATAACTACGACTACGACTCACTACGACCATATAACTACGACTCACTATGACTCACTACGACCATATAACTATGACTACGACTTATTACGACCATATAACTACGATTACGATCGGATAATTACGACCATGATTATGCTACGAATATAATACATATACGACTAGATAATTAACTATAATTACGACGGTTGAGCATAATGCAAATGCGACCAAATAATTAACGGTAACTACGACCATGTCCATTTACTTATTCTCTCGATCCTTTTGCTGGTTGGACCAAATATTCTCGTCTATATCTCTCTACGATTATGTGATCATCTATATTTTAGAAATCAGTGCATTTTGAGATTTGTCCTTCTGTTTTCTCTATTATTTTCTCTATATTCTCTATTTCTTACAGTTTATCTCATGAATCAAATACTCTTCTGCATGATTTCTTTTTCTGTAGTATTCATATGTTCATTTTATTTTCTACATACAAGGTGTTTGATGAAATTCCTGAAATAGAAAACGACGGCAGGTTCCAGTATGTGACTTGGGCCTACAGTAGGTCACCTGCGACATGCGGCAGGTCACCTGCGACATGTCATATATGACTTAGGACATGCAACATATCGCTTGCGACATGCAGTCTGATGACATGCTGACCTACAAGTGTTTTTTCACGAAATCCATACAAGTGTTTTTCTATACTTATATAAGAAAACAAAATCCATATAAGTGTTTTTTCATGTATGTGGAGAAAAACGAAATTCATGGAAGTAATTTTTTGTGACAATTTATCTTTTAGAAATCGGAACGCTTTATTATTTGATCTTATTTTTTCTCCAACATTTTTCTCTATCTTCTCTATTTCTTATATAGTTTATCTAATCTATTCAAATACTCTTCTTGTTGATTTTTTTCTGTGAGATTCTAATCATTTTTTTGCATTTACATAAGGTATCTGATGAAATGTCTGTATCAGAAAACTGCGGCAGATGACCTGCGATCTGTGAAAAATGACATGCGCTTTGCGATAAATGACCTATGGTCTCTGGCAGATGACTGTGATATGCCACAAATGATCTGCAGTCTGCAGCAAGTCATTTGGCCTGCGATCGCCCTGCGGACTTACGGCTATCGCCCTGCGGACCTGCAGACCTACCGCAAATGATATGCGGTCTCCAAAATTTTCTCTATATTCTCTATTTCTTACAGTTTATCTAATCTATTCAAATACTCTTCTGATTGATTTCTTTTTCTGTGATATTCTGATCAATTTTTGTATGCACATAAGGTGTTTGATGAAATGTCTGTAAAAGAAAATTGTAGAAGATGACCTGCCGTCTGTGAAAAATAACCTACGCTCTACGATAAATGACCTACAACCTACGGCAGCTGACCTACGGTCTGCCAGGTGACCTGTTGTCTGCGGTAGGTCATCTTTGGCACATACGACACCTATTGCACCTGCTAACCTGCAAGTGTTTTTTCTATACTTATATAAGAAAACAAAATCCATATAAGTGTTTTTTCATGTATGTAGAGGAAAACGAAATTCATACAAGTGTTTTTTTATAAATGTAGAAAACCTGCAGGTTATAATAATATAGAAGGATATGATGGTCATTTTAACTCAAAAAAGTATAAAATACAAAGATTACAATAGTAGAAGTATAGAATGCAAAGACGTTTTTTTTTTGTACATTTATGCAAATTTTCCCTAAGAACTATTAATAAAGATCATAAATCATATCCAGAATTCTATCTAAATTTTTGTAGATTAAAAAATAAATTACTAGATTGAGATAACAAATTCTTTTCATATATTTGTGCAGATGACATTCCTCTATATAATTAGAAAAATGTACAACGAGTTGGATTTTTTTTTGGTTGAACATTCGATAAGACATTAGGCATGTCTTTTGAGGTTTATAAAGATATAACAAATTCGATTTGAATAACTTGTTGGGTTTGAGAATGGCAAGATGCATGAGTTTCAATTATAAAACTCCAATAAAGGAAATAGTAATTATTATTATGATTAGAAATAGTCACAAAAACTCTAATGTTTTTAGATTTTATAGATAAATACAAAAACTTTGGAAAAAAAATTTGCATTAGTTTTGAAAATTTTGGGTGAACTTGCATTTCGGCACCATATTAGAAAATGGACACATCATATCCGATTATTATTATTATTTATTATTAAAGTAAATCGTATATAAATATCTAAATTTTTATAAAAATTTTATAAAAATATCTTGACTTTTGAAAAAAAAATCGAAAAATAAATTAATGATGTTAACTATTTTTATTTTAAAAAATATCTGAAATTTGAATTTATTTTTAAAAAATTTCAAAAATTTAGATATCTAAATATGATTTAAAAAAATAATTATTTATATGAAAATTTTATAATTTAGATATTTATTTAAAATATTAATAAAAATTTAAATATTTATATAATATTTTTTCTTATTATTATTATTGGGAAAATATATTGAAAACAGCATCGATTTAAGTTATAATATCTTGCATAATAGTCACTGACACAACTTTGACATCTGCGCGGAAATATTCTGAGCGCGCCAGCTCTATATATAGTATAGACGTCTTGCTATCCTTGCAAAAAGAAAAAAAAAACTGAGAAGAAATGTTGATAGGGGAGACGACATTAACGGCGTTATCACCGACGTACGTGTGGATATGGACATTGTTTGCCATCGTGCTGACGTGGACGGCGTTTCACAACGGCAAGAAGAAGGGACACAACGCGACGGAGACGGAGACGGAGACGGAGAGTGAGACGGCGAACCGTAACGGTGCTGACGTCATCGTTGTCGGGGCTGGTGTCGCCGGCTCTGCTCTCGCTTATGTTCTCGCCAAGGTTAGAGTCGGCTTTGGTAGAAAATCTAAAATGCTATTTTTAAAGTTAAATTATTGAATTTATCACAAAATTAACAAATGATCAAAACTGCGTAGCATGCGAATGGACAAAAATATCCTCTTTCGAAAATATTAAATATAAAACTAACCCTAACATGATGTTTATCTAACATTATATATTGTACTAAAAAGGGAAATTGACAACATCTATGTGAATTTGTAAAAAAAGTGTCAATAAGCCATACAAATTTATAATTTGATAAAAAGCTATATCTAATTTTAAAAATATCTCAAAAATATATACCAAATAAAAAAATCATAAAAATTTGCGGTACAAATTTAAATGGTGTCTAATTTCAACGAATTTTGTTTATCGAATAAATGATATGACATGACACACCGTTATCTTTGTCCACATGTTTATAAACACAACAAATTATCAAATCAAAATTCTCTAGATTGATCAGTGTAGAATTAATAAACCGGTTTGATGTCGTCAACCCAAAATTTAATAAATTGCAAAAACCGGTTGAGTCGGTTATCAAAAAACTCCAAACGCGTTGATCCACTCAGCCGGTCCAATATGTCTCGATCTCATAATTTTTTAGCTCAGTCTAAGTCTAACTCGTTTTTAACAAGCTAAAACAATACTTAATTTAGTCCGGTTCGCCTTAAATCAAGAGAAAAAAAAACCCAATTGATTTTTTAAAAAAAAATCAACCCACGATACAACCTGTAGCTCGCCCAATCTCGAATCCGTGACGGATTCGCTCAACTAATTTTGAGTCCATGATGGGTTGGCTCGTCAAATTGGGTTGGATTAGATTAGATCGGTTAACCCAATCTAATCCAATTATTATTACATTTGGTTTATTTATTTTTTTTGTATCACAATCATTTTATGAGTTACATGAGTTTTAACCTATTAAACTCATGAGTTTAATATGGTTTTACACCCCAAAAGAAGATATGAAGTGATCCACATCAAATGTATTGAAACTCACTGCTCAAATGAAACCAGATTAAAAGAACTTTAACACCCATACAATTATGAAAAAAAAAAATCAACAAAGAAGATTTACGTCTCATCGTATTGCTGCTCGAAGTCCTCCATTGCAGAAAATCATGAGATATCCATTGTTCTTGTGACTAAATGGATTTGGGAAATTTAAAACTCGGTCTGGGGGTTTTTATTTTAACCGACTAAATCGGTTTTCATAATTTATTAAATTTTAATATCGGTTTGATGACTTGTCAAACCGGTTCACTTATTCCAAACTGATCAATCTCAGTTTTAATTATTTGTCGTGTTTATTGTTTACGTTGCAAAAATAAATAAATAAATTTATGACTTGTCATATAATGTGACGTGGATAAAAATCACTAGTGGATAAAAATCACTAAAATTTAAACGTAACGCCCATTTATATTCGTGCCGAGTACAGGATGGGAGAAAGGTGCACGTGATAGAAAGGGACTTGAGTGAGCCAGAAAGAATGATGGGTGAGGTGATGCAGCCGGGGGGCCGCCTCATGTTGGCCGGACTCGGACTTGAAGGTACTCTTATAACTCTTTCTCTATATATATATACACACACACAAATATGTATGCATATATCTTCTTCTTCAGACCACGAACTAAAATGATTTGATAAATTGATTGTTTTTATTGTCATGTACCGAGAAACACGAAAAGAGACGAAGAAAATTCCATGTCGTATTGATACAGATTATACAGAACTTATACACAAACTCAGCAATTGTCTAACCTAGAATCTAGAAAAGGCAACGCAATCAAATGTTACTGATATGCAGAAGAAGAAATGCAAGATTTCCTTTTCTTGTTGATACAATATATCCATTACCCCCTCAAGTTGGAGCATAGATGTTGTGTATGCCCAACTTGGATAAAAAACCGTCAAATTCGCGTTTACCCAGTGCCTTAGTGAAGATATCGGCGAGTTGTTGATGCGATGAAACATGTCGAGTTGCAATCTGTCGGGAAACAATGTGATGACGGAGGAAATGACAATTTACCTCAATGTGCTTGGTGTGGTCATAGAAAACGTCATTTGCATAAATATGCAACGCAGCTTGGCTGTCGCAGTGCAGAAACATAGGGTCTGTGTGGGAGACACCGAGAGACAATAGCAAGGCCTTCAACCAAAGAAGCTCACATGTAGCAACCGCCATGGAACGATATTCAGTTTCAGCTGAGGATAAAGAAACAGTGGACTGTTTCTTCGACCTCCACGATATCGGAGAAGAACCAAGTTGAATGAGATAGCCAGAAAGGGATCGACGAGAGCGAGGGCAGCCAGCCCAGTCCGAGTCACACCATCCATACAGACGGAAATCTGAATCAGAACGCAGCAGAATCCCTTGGCCTGGTTTGCTTTTCAGATAATGTACCACATGTAATGCGGCGTCCCATTGATCACGCCGCGGTTGCTGCATAAATTGAGACAAGATATGGACCGCATAAGTGATATCAGGTCTGGTGGCAAGCAAATAAAGCAGCTTGCCTACAAGACGACGATAAGGTTCTGGGTTGAGAAGCAGAGGACTCGTCGACATGGCTAAACGATGGTTCTAGTCCAGAGGGAATGCAGTCGGCTTAGCCCCGAGTAAACCGGCATACTTTCGCTGGCATAAATAAATGCCTTGAGGATTCCGAGAGACCTCAAGACCGAGAAAATATTTCAGCCTACCCAAAACCTTCATGTGAAAACAACGACTCAAATAGGTCTTGAAGAGTGTAATGGCGGAGGGAGATTGCTCGTAATAAGCAAGTCATCAGCATATATACATGCAGCCGGATATTGGACTTATTGAGGATGAACAATGAGTGATCACATTGGGCCTGGAAAAATCCGTAACGAGTGAGAGCCGATGCTAACTTTGCGAACCAACAACGAGGCGCTTTCTTGAGTCTGTAGAGAGACTTTCGGAGGCGGCAGACGGAGCTGGGATTCGACATAGAGAAATCAGGAGGCAACTTCATGTAGACCTCATCAGCCAAATCACCATGGAGAAAAGCGTTATGGACGTCCATTTGATCAACATCCCAATGGCGAGCTGCGGCCACCGCGATGAAAGTGCGTACGGTAACCATCTTTGCAACCGGTGCAAATGTGTCGTCATAGTCGACTCCTTCCGTTTGCCGATTTCCAAGAACAACAAGACGAGCTTTGTGTCTTTCAATCGAGCCATCAGATTTATATTTGGTGCGGAAAACCCACTTACAACCGATTGCTTTCTTATGAGGCGGCAAAGTTTCCAAAGTCCAGGTTCGATTTTTCTCAAGGGCAGCAATCTCGTCTTGCATGGCCTGCCTCCAGTGCTCGTGTTTGAAAGCTTCGGAGTAGTTTCGAGGGTCATGAGCATCGGACATGGCAGCCAGAAAAGCCTTGTGAGGGGTAGAGATTTTGGCATAAGAGATACACGCATCTAGGGGATAACGAATATCAGATATGACCTGGACGACATTTGTGACAAAATCCTTTAAAAGGACATTCGGATACCTTTGTCTCTGTCCTCTGCCAAGAGGAACTACATCAGTCCGAACCTGAGGTGTAGCCTGTGGAATATGATCAGGTGGAGCCTCGGGATCAGTTGAGGAAGGTGAACTGCTGGTGGGTGATGCATCAGGTGGGATGTCAGGAGTCGGTTCAGTGTTGGGTAGTGCAGAGGAGTCCAAAACAGAGGGGGAGAGATTCAGAGACTGCGTCGGTGGCAATCGGGTTGAATAATCGTCACCGTCATCAGCAACAATGAAAGGGCCCGAAGATGAAGCTGATGGAAGAATAGGCTGCGAAGAACCGGTCAAATCCGAGAAAGGGAATGTGTTCTCGGAGAAGACGACATCTCGAGAGACAAGAAACTTCTTTGTTTCAAGATTGTAGACGCGCCACCCCTTTTGACCCAAAGAATAGCCGATAAAGATGCACCGAAAACTTCGGGGAGCGAATTTATCATCCAGACGATTTTGATTATGAACATAGCATAAACATCCGAAGACACGTAAATGGTCATATTGCGGAGCTTGGCCATGGAGGAGTTCATAAGGAGTACGTCCACTGAGAATGTCCGTCGGAGTACAGTTTATCAAATATCCCGCTGGAAGAACACTCTCATCCCAAAATTCTACGGGAAGATTCGCTTGAAACAGTAAAGCTCGGGCCACATTGAGGATGTGACGATACTTGTGTTCAACACGACCATTTTGTTGCGGTGTTCCAACGCAAGACGTTTCATGAATAATTCCCTTCGTAGAAAAATAATTTCGCATGCCGAGAAATTCAGAATCATTGTCGAAGCAAACCTTCTTGACCCTTGTATTAAACTATCGCTCGACAAGTGCCACGAAATCCCGAAGTTTATATGAAGCCTCATGTTTTCCTGTCAACAAATACAGTCATGTGCCGCGAGAATAGTCGTCTACAATCGTCAGAAAATACTTTGCACCCGTAGATGAGGAAGTTCGGTAGGGTCCCCACAAGTCACAATGAACCAAATAAAAAATAGCCGTAGTTTTATTAGTGCTGACGGAAAAAGATTCTCGAGTTTGTTTTGCACGCAAACAAATGTCACAATGCTTATTATCAAAACAATTTTCAGATGAGTAACCGAGGCCATAAATCTTTTTCATAACTTGAGACGATGCATGTCCCAAACGCTTGTGCCACATATCAAACGGTTGCGAGGCTTTCGTCCGTGTTACTGCCAAGTTTGCTGTCCCTCTGAAATAATAGAGCCGCGCTCGCTGTTCACTCGCTCCAATCAGCGTCTTGGAAGTGCGATCCTGAATAATGCAGAATGAACGAGAAAAAGTAACGAAACAGTTATTTTCGGCCAACAATTGACAGATTGATATCAAGTTGCAGTGAAGACCCGGGACAAACAGAACATTTGTCAGTTGAAAATGAGAACCAAGAAGAACGGAGCCTGATCGAACTGAGTATATTGTGCGACCATCCGTTAATATCACTGAACAAGGGGGAATCGGAGATATATCAACTAAACGAGATAGCTCGCCCGTTATGTGTTTGCGAGCAACTTGTGTCAAGAATCCAAGGGGCTGTCGAAAACATACCAGAGAGAGTTTCAGCGTGTCGATTTTGCTGTTAGATAACATGGCGAGCAAGGAATTCCACTAATCCGGCGTTATACCACTGACAATGCTTCTATCGGCATTAGCAACAGGGGAAACAGAGGAGTCATGGTCGGGGTCGTCATCGGAGTCGGTGCAGTCGAGTCGGGAGTCGAAATCGGGTCGGAGTCGATGCTAGAAGGCATGAGAATCGAGATATCAGTTTGTGTGATTCAAGAGTTCGTGCTCTGATACCATGTCATGTACCGAGAAAGAAGAAAAGAGACGAAGAAAATTCCATGTCGTATTGATACAAATTGTACAGAACTTATACACAAACTCAAATTGTCTAACCTAGAATCTGGAAAAGGCAACGCAATCAAATGTTACAGATATGCAGGAGAAGAAATGCAAGATTTCCTTTTCTTGTTGATACAATATATCCATTACTTATAGATGGGTGAGTTATTATCTTATGTTTTTTTCCCATAATAGATTGTCTGGAAGACATTGACGCACAAAAGATGAAAGCCTTTGTAGTACACAAGGACGGTAAATATGGAAACTGCCCATTTCCTGAGGACGTCAAGTTTCCTTACGAAGCTCGAGCCCGAGGCTTTAGGAACGGTCGTTTTGTCCAGAGGCTTCGCCACAAGGCTTCTTCACATACCAAGTACGATTAACATCATCATATTTGTTCATGTTTATACCAACGCATAACATATTTGGTTGTCATCTCCCTGGACCATGGTTTCAGACCAAATGATATGTGAACAGATGTAAAGACCAAACTATATATATACATACACATGCTATACTTAAACTTTTCAAATATGTAGGTCCTCGGTTATAATTCATTAGATTATAAGTGTTGTACTTAATGTACCCAAGGTTTGATGCAGATGGATTGATTTGTGCATTTGAAAATGGCAGTGTGAATTTGGAAGAAGGGACAGTGAAGTCGTTGGTAGAAGAGAAGGGAGTGATAAAAGGGGTGAAGTACAAGAGCAAGAGTACCGGTCAAGAGACAACGGCCTTTGCACCTCTCACCGTCGTTTGCGACGGTGCTTATTCTAACCTCCGTCGCTCTCTCCACAACCCCAAGGTTCGGCTAATATTTGGCGAACTAGTTTGATTTTGTTTTCTCAAAGTTTTCTACCACAAATTGGGTTTGGTGAGAATCAAAGTGGAATGTTTTAATATGCAGGTGGAGTTGCACTCTTATATAATTGGTTACACCGTGAAGAATTCACGACTCGAAGATCCAGAAAATTTGCATTTGATATTTTCCGAGCCCTCGTTTGCAGTCGTGTATCAAATAGGCAGCAATGAGGTCCGTTGCATGACTGAAGTTCTCCGTGAGAATGTTCCTTCCATTTCTAGTGGTGAAGTAATCAGCTTCCTCAAGGAAATTATAGCTCCTCAGGTACATATGGGAATAAATGTTGAATATTTTTGGGTTGAAATAGGGGCAAACCAAACATCATTAAACCGTCGTTTTGCTCAAGTACAATGTCCTAACGCTTCTTGTTGGTCTAGGTACCTCCTAAACTCCGAGACATATTCGTGAAAGGACTTGACGAGAGCCCTGAGATAAAGACGGTTGCAACGAAGAGCATGGGAGATTCTCTATGCGATAAGAATGGAGTGATTGTGTTGGGAGATGCATTCAACATGAGGCATCCTATAGTTGCCTCGGGGATGATGGTTGCATTGTCAGATATTGTCATCCTTCGTGATCTTCTCAAGACTTTAAACAATCTCGGTGATGCTAAGAAGCTCTCTCGGGCTCTCAAGTCCTTCCACAAACTCCGAAAAGTAAGTCCCCTAAAGATTTAATACCTAATAGGAAAACCCTAATGACATCTATGTTGATTCACTTGGATTCTTGAAATGTGAAAGCCAATGTCGGCGACTGTGAACACACTGGCTGATGCGTTTCACCAAGCGCTAATTGCATCGAGTGACAAAGCAAGAGAAGCAATGAGACAAGGCAGCTTCAATTACCTTAGTCGGGGAGGAGTTTTCACGAAGGGATTGACGGCTATCCTCGGTGGTATGAACCCTAGACCACCTTCTCTTGTCCTCCATCTCTTCGGCATCACCTTTGCCTCCATTGCTACTTTGCTCTCTCCCTTTCCTACGCCCCACGGAATTTGGCATAGCCTCAGACTGCTTCGGGTACATACATATTCATTCCTCTTTATCTTTCTTCTTCCATATTTTTATGTATTTATTTTTTATTACCCTAATAATAATAATAATTGGTTGACACTTTTCCTCACTTTTTGTTTGGGAAATGTTATATAGTTGGCTTTGGCAATGTTGGGTTCACATTTGAAGGAAGAAGGAGTAACTCAAATGTTGTCTCCAGCAGCCGCGGCCGCTTATCGCAAACGCTACATGACCGCAACACCTGCCTAATCATGGATAAGATTTCGCCATCGTGTGATGTTTTATAGCTATCTCAGTAAAGCAAATCGGGGATATGTAATATGTTTGTATCAACCAATAATGTGTGTAAACCTATTATTCTAATGTTAAAACTTCATTTATATTAAGTTTCTTATAATCTATAACACATCATCATGAACATTCCAAAAGAGAAAAAAAAAAAGAATAGATGGTTGCAAAGAAAAAATCTTGGACTTGCTTGGACAAAATCCAAGCATGTTTCATTCTGACAAAAACATCCTCAGATCTGCCCCACTAGAACATCCTTGTACGGTGTTGGAGGAGGCCCCGAGGTCAACCCCGTTCCCACGGCCGTAGCGGGCATGCTGTGGCTTCTTCTTCCGCTTTAATCATCCTTTCTTCTTCCACGAATAGAGGGAGAGAGTCCTCTCTTTCTTCGTGAAGCCGGTCTTGAGTGCCTCCCCGTAGCTTCTCGAGTCGGAGTCCAATGATCTGTAGGAAGTTGAAAACCTTTACGACATTCATCAATCCTCCCACCAGTAAGCATGTCCCTCCGGAGATGCCAAGCCACACCCATCTCTTACCCTGCATCCGTTAGAGCGTAACTGGTTATATCGATTTGATTTAATTTGGTTCGGTTTTATTTTCGATATTTCCGTTTGTTAGTTACGCACTCCAACCGGTTACACACTCTGGCTTTCTATGTGGATTCACAAGCTATTTCACTTTGGAATGCAGATAAAGTCTCTGGGGTAAAGGAACTTCACATCTTTACCCTATTGGTTCCATGGGCATTGGGACATCTTCGGTCTTTCAGATAATCGTTGTGTATTCATCGTACAAAATTGCGTAAACTACGGAGACATAATACTAATATATTGATTTTTAAATATATATATATTAGTAATTACCGGCAACTTTAGACCATGGTGTTGCCGCCCAGCTTGCTCACGGCTGTTGAGAATTCCGGCAACTAAAAACAGAACAGATCCGACCAAGAAAGGGATGTGAACACAATGCTGTAGAATCTGGACATGCCCATCAGCTCTCTCGTAGATTTGGCACGAGTTGTGGATCGAACCGATCAACCACAATACAGGGCCGGCAATAAGCATGTTCAATGCATGCTTCTCTCTTCCGTCGTATCCATGTTTTGTCTCGGCCTAAGTCATCATTGAAACGTACATTAACCTGATCAACAAGCTCACCACAGTCTGTTCTATCAAGGAAAGTTTGTCCATAGCACTTCAGGTTTTTATAATAAATGATGGATCATGATCAACACCAAATAGAACTAAAAGTCTAAAACCGTGTGTTTTAACATTTAATTCTTACCATATTTCAGCTAAGTACGTAAATTATGAAAAAGATCCCCAAGAAAACAATTGAACCCGCTACGTGGAACAGAGGAACTGCAATCTCCACGAGCAAGTTGCAAATCATACTCCATCAAATTAACTCAACCTGAAACCACATAAGCAATTCTATAAAAATGTTCTACACTGACCTTTTCGAAGCAATCCACTTAACTACAAACGTACAAGCAAATAAGAAACACCGAAAAACCTTGCAAACCGAATCCCGATTAGATGCTAACATCTTAAACCGGAGATAATCAAACCAGAAACCGAAGAGAGGGTACCGGTATTCAATTGCGGCGAGATGAGCGAGAAGATCATGAGCATTGAGGGCCGCGATGAGAGCGAGAGAGAATAGACTAAGGACGAGACCGGATTTGGGCTCCCACGAGAACCCGGCGGCGACAAAGGGGCCGACTGGTTGCACCGCCGTCACCCGCAAACGGAGCGGTTGCGATTTTCGGCGGTTACGGACGATTAAAAAACTGACTGGTTGAACCGCAACCAACCGCAACCGACCAAACTTGTGTTTTCTAATCGCAGCTTCCAACTTGCGTTTTGATAGCGGTTTCCGGCGTCTTGACAAAAAAACTAAAATATTTTTATTAGAAATTATATAAAACATTAATATATATATTGGTGATGATTTTGTTTAGTGTTATGATTTGATATTATTTTTTAGTATCATATTTTAATTAAAAAAATACAATAGTATAATTTTTAGGTTTAATAATAATTATTTTTAATAATTTTTATAATAAAATTATTTTTTACTTGAAAATAAATTAAATTGATAATATTTATATTTTAAATTTATTATTTAATTATTATAAATTTAGTAAATAATTTTTATCAAATGATACGAAAAATTTAATTAAAATTATTGTAAAAAATTATTTTTAAATAATATTTTTTTTGACAATTTATATCAAAACGCAACCACAACCGTAACGAACCATTCACCTTTAACTGCACCCACCCGCAATCGTTACCAACAGCAACTTCTCAACCAGTCAGTACTAATCGTTTATAATCGCTATCAAACGTTTTGAAAACGCTGTCATCCGCAACCGCAACCGTTGCGGTACAACCAGTCGAACCCAAAACCTCCGACGAGAAGGAAGGTGACAAAAACGTAGAGTCCGGCGTTTATGTACTCAACGTTGCCTCCCGAGGCGAGGACCGTAGGTCCTAATCTCACGCGCCGTCGCAAGCTTCACCATGTCTGCAGAATCTCTCCGGAGAGAGAGGGAGAGAGTTTGGTGGAGAGAGAGAGAGTTATGTGCGTGGCTTCGTGCATGGGCTTATATTCTGTGTACGTGGCAATTTGAGATTATTATATGTTATTTGAGATTCATTTGAATTTTCTTTTTTGGTGTGTGTCATTCACCCGAAGAACCGAAGCATACCAAATCGAAAATTTTGGTATTTTTTTCGAATCGTACCGTTTAAAATTCTCGAACAATATAATTTTTATAGAACCGAATTCTCTGAAGTCGAATCGAATCGAATCAAATTTTATAAAATTTTCGAAATACTAAAATTTTCTTAAGAAAATCTAAATTTTTTTAACAAAAACCGAAACTGCACCGTACCGAAACCGAAAACGAACCGAACCGACTAATATACGGTACTAATTTGGTAAAAATTTTAGAATACCGAATAAACTGTTTTCGAACCGAACCGATAAAATTTCGATTTGAAACCCGAAATACCCACTCCTACCTTGTTTGCAAGAAAGATAAACAAATAGCAAATGGAAAGCTCTTACTTTTTCCTTTTTGATAAAATTAGTTCATTGAATTCATATAAACTTAACGAGAATATTGTTGGTAGAGTGCAATATTCACTATGATTTGATAAATCAATTCATCAGTCCGTAACTTAAAGAAGAATTAACGTCAATTTGTACAAAAATGATGTAGAAATAGTTGGACAAAAAATCTGTAACTCCACAAGCAATATGACGAACATCAAAGACAAAGCACCGTGACACTGTGACGGCTGATTTTTCGGAAAACAATAATTAAATGTAAAATCAATTTACTTGAATAAAAAAATTGTTCAATTTTGACTTGTGATATATTAAATCTCGACTTTCAAAACTTACAAAAAATTTTAAGTCCTCTATTTTTTCACAAAATACTCAATACTGTGGACATCAACGTCGCTTTAATCACAAGTTTATTTGGGATCACCGGCATAAATTTTTCGTTTTCATTCATTCCGATTTTGAATTAGTTCTTTAAAAATTTACAATAATTTTAAGTCATTTCTAATGACTCGTTTCCACATAAATTTAGGTATTAATACACGTTTAGGGTTTTGTAAAATAATATCGCATTAACAAAAGTGATTCCAATGGTACATATACAAGTTTGAAAAAGACTGGTTATGGAAAGATTACACAATCCTGGCAATCACAACTAAATCTGAGAAGATTTTCCGTAATTATAGTATATCATTAACATGCACCCGCAAGTTCGGTGTTGGATGAGAGACCGATCTTGGCTCTGAGAAGATCGAACCGTTGTCGAGGTAGTGGCTTGGTGAGTGCGTCGGCTAGTTGATCCGCATAAGAGACATGAGCGACACATAGTTGTTTGGCTTGAACTAATCCTCGAATGAAGTGGTAGTCGATAGCTACGTGTTTCATATGCGAGTGAAAAATCGGGTTTGTCGATAGATAGGTTGCTCCAATGTTGTCACAATAAATCACCAGTGTTGTGGATAGAGTGACGTCGAGCACGGAAAGTAGAGAACATGCCATCGAACCTCCGAAGCAGCGGACGAAACTGATTTGTATTCAGCTTCGGTTGATGACTTTGTAGCGAATCGTTGCTTTTTCGAGGACCAAGAGATGGGATTATTTCCAAGGTAAGCGATGTTAGCTCGAGTTGATGTAAAATCATCCTGATTCCCTTCCCAATCTGCATCGGAATAAGCATGAAGATAGATAGGACTAGATCGAGAGAGAAGTATACCGAGAGAGTTTGAGCCATTCAAATATTGAAGAACCCTTTTTAACGCTTGCCAATGATCCGTCATCGGATGATGCATGAAGAGAAAGCTTGTTGACCGCATAAGCAATGTCTGCTCGAGTGAAAAGTAAGTATTGTAGACCACCCAAAACTTGCTGGTACTCATGTGGATCATCAAGAGGGGATCCGAAGTTGAGATGTAAGGCAGACGTCGAGGGTAGCGACATCGGGACAGGTTTAGACTCGGCCATTTGATGACATTGAAGAACGTCGTTTGTGTAACGATGTTGCGTGAGGAGAATGCCTTCGGAAGTGTATGTTACTTCGACTCCGAGAAAGAATGATACTTTTTCAAGATCCTTGACCGAAAACCGAGTCGCAAGAGAGTCGATGAACCGTTGAACAGTGTCGGAGTTGCTTCCTATGACGATAATATCGTCCACTAAACAAGGAGATATATGATGACATTGTCTCGTTGAAGACGAACACAGTGATGTGTCGGAGAGTGAGTTGATAAATCCCGAATCGATGAAGAATCTAGACAACTTTGTGTACCAAGCGCGAGGAGCTTGTTTGAGCCCGTATATAGCTTTATGGAGCTTGCACACATAGTCTCGCCGATCTCCATCAATAAATCCCAGTGGTTGTATCATATATGTCATCTTGGAGTGTACCTTGGGAAAAGCATTGTTGACATCGAGTTGTCAAAGCATCCAACCACGAGTGACCGCAACACTAGGAACAACACGGATGGTCGCATGCTTGATCACCGGGCTAAAAGTGTCAGTGTAATCTATTCCGGTATGTTGGTGGAATCCCTTAGTCATAAGATGTGCTTTGTACCTGTCAACACAACCATTAGGTAAGCGTTTAGTCCGAAAAATCCACTTACACCTAACAACATTGTAGGATGGATCGACCGGAACAAGACTCCATGTGTCATTCCGTAACAATGCATTGAACTCCTCGGTCATGGCATTTCTCCATTTAGGATCCTTGATAGCCTGCGAAACACATGTTGGTTCGATGTCTCGGTCAGGTATAGAGTTGTAGTTATGGAGGGTTTCGGGTTTGGTTTCGAAATTTAGTTTTTGGATCTAGTTGTCATGGAATGGGTATTTCGAATGGGTTGTGGTTGTGTATCAGGTTATGTGGTCACGAGTGGGTGATTTTGTGCCAATGGTTCGGTGGTATTTGGTTGTTGTGGTATTGGTGAGGTTGATAGTGGCTCAGGAGTGGGTTCAATGGACGTTGTATTCTGGTTTTCTGCATTTTTTAGAGGCGAAGAAACTGCACCAGGGGTCACGGTTGGCGGAGTATGCATGGCTGCCCGAAGAGGAATGACCAAAGAGTGTGAGAGCATGGGAAATGAAGGCTCAGAGTGTGACTCGTAACAGGAAGGTGATGAGAGAAAGGGAAATCATGTTCGAAGAACTCGACGTGTCTCGAGACATATAAGCGAGACGACTCAACATGGAGGCATAGGTATGCACTTTGGGTAAGGGAATAACCTACAAAGATATAAGGAATGGAACGTGGCTGTAGTTTATGACGATTGTATGGTCGTAGCCAGGAAAACAAAGACAACCAAAAATACAAAGTTTCGAATAATTTGGAGATGTTTGAAATAGCGATTTGAAGGGAGACCGTCTGTCAAGAACTGATGTAGAAAGACGATTGATTAAATAAACGGCGGTTGGAAAAGCAAAAGACCAATATTCAACCAGAATGGACGCAGAGAAAGAAATGTGAGTCCCGTTTCAACAATATATCGATGTTTTCGTTCCGAAATCCCATTATGCTTGGGGGTATGCAGTGATGTTGTGAAATGTGAAATATCATTAGAAGATAAAAAATCTTTGAAAGCGATATATTCACCACCGTTGTCTGAATAAAGTGTGACGATTTTTGTTCGGAAACGGTTTTCTACAAGAGTTTTAAAATGTCGAAATATTGTGGAGACTTGAGACTTTATGTGCATGGGATAGAACCATGTGTAACAGGTAAAATGATCCACAAAATAACATAGTACTTATACCCATCAAATGAGGTTGTCGGTGAGGTCCAAACATCAGAAAATAAAATATTAAGTGGACAAGAGGATTGAACCGAAGAAACCAAAAATGGACGTTTGTGCCTCTTATTAATAGAACAAAATTCACGAGAGAAATAAGATGAGTCACTCGACAATAGAAGAGAAAAATTAGAAATAATATGCCTGAGAGTATCTTTAGAGGAATGACCTAGCCTAGAATGCCACTCGGAGAACGACGTCTTTACACTTGAAAGTGCAAGAGAACGACGCCTTAACAGGTATATCCCTCCCTTTTCTCTTCACCACATTCTTATATTCTCCACTTTTCTAATTGACTCACCTATCGACCTACATTGTACATGTTCAAACCATCTCAGACGTCTGTCTCGTAATTTCTCTTCTATATCTATTACTCCTATTTTTTTCTCTAATAGTTTCATTTCTAATTCTATTCGTTCTTATATATTCGTACATTTGTCATAACATTCTCATCTTGATCACACTCATTTTAGACATACTTAATATTTTGGACAAACAAAAAAAATCCTAACTTTAATACTTATTAAAATTAAATTCTAGATTTATTTTTTGTATTTAAAACTCTCAACTATACAAATTAATAAAAAAAAATGAAATAAAAAAATAGACGAATGCTAAAAGATATTACGATGCTACACATCTCACCGCCAGCGTATTAGTGTGGTGGGATCGCGAGGTAGTTTGATAGGAGACGTGTTCAATATGATTAAATCGAAATATGGCGGAAGATGAATTAAGTTCATGATGAGGAAAAGATATATTCTCATTTTTACTATGAATTACAAAGAAAATATAAGAATTTAGAGGAAGGGTACCAAAAAAACTCGAGATTACTTGTCTATCGTACTAGACCGACCCGATTCGACAAAATACAGGCCAACAACGGATTCGAGTTGCGGGATATTTGTGGACGGAGTTAGAGAGAGAAAATCCTTTCTCCTCTCTCTAACTTTCCCAACTTGATCGACAAATCGAAAACCTAATCTGCACCGGAGATCCCCCTCTACACCGACCGGTCGGCCCACTGCCGGCCGGAAAATCGAACCCCCTAGTCAGCCCACTGCTGCCTAGAACCAAAAACACTCAATCCCTTCCTGCATCTGCCGTTATGCCCCCCCCTCCCCGTTTGAGATCCTCGTCGGTCCCCCCTTCTCCGAGCATCCTGGGCGCGCCGCCGAGCATGTACGTTGTAGGGTCAGCCTTGACGACTCTCCTGAGTTCAGTAGCATTGCAGCAAGCTGGGTCAGAGGAAAATGTTGGCCCTGTTCCAGCGGAACACACAAAAGCGTCGCCGAATCTCTCGAGTGCGGCGTCGCAGGCCACACAGCAGGTATCTCTGAACTCCCCCTTCTCGGCAACATTACAGCAAGTTGTCCCCAGCTTAGCTGGTACTTCCTTACCGAAGGAACCCTCTTCCTCTCCCCCTGTCCCTTCAACAGAAATTCCGATTGCGGAGCCGCGAGCAACCAGCAGGTATCTCTCAGCTCTCATCCTCCTACTACTGAGGTTCAATCTAAGAACAACGGGAACCCTAGTACAGACATGGCTCAGGAACCAGCGACTTGGAGCAAGCGTTTGTTTCCGAATAAACGGAATTTGGAGCGATTGGGTACTCCCGGTCTTCATGTTACAGGCATTCCACTGATTTCAATTCCGGAGGAATCCATCAACCAAGCAGTCGATGAATGGAAAGATTTTCTGATCGGACAGTTTTACGGATTGCCGCCTTCGCTGGGAAGAATTATTGGTGTTGTCAATGCCTTGTGGAACAGAAATGGAAATCGTATTCGAGTGCAGGACATCGGAAAAGGAACATTTCTCTTCAAGGTTCCGAATGAGAATACTAGGCAGTTCATTCTCTCAAGACAGTTTTGGTATATTGGACAATGTCCAATGTTTGTATCAAGCTGGAATCCCCATCACACTCTTGATAAACCCCCCATGCAATCAATCTCGACGTGGGTAACACTCTTAGATGTTCCCCCGAAATTATACAACTCTTGACAGTATCAGCCGCATCGCCACGGGACTAGGAAATCCTTTGTATCTAGACCATGCTACAGCTGAGAAAGAGAATGTTGCACTTGCGCGAGTATATGTAGATGTTCAGCTGAGATACCTGCCTAAGCGAATAGCAGTCAGCCTACCGGATGGAACCGAGCATACTGTGCTAGTTTCCTATGACTGGTTACCACCCAAATGTAGCTCATGCGGGGAGGTTGGGCATAATGCCAAACACTGTCCGAAGAACCAAAAATCGAAACCTCATGGAACAACACCTAATCAGGCTATAAGACCTGTTGGGATAGAATCCAAAGCCCCGACACCTCTGGAACAGCCAGGCCCAGTGACCACATCAGAGTTACCCTTCGAAATGCCCCAAGAACAACAACAGAAGCAACCAGACCTCTCTGGTGCAGTGGTAGAACCTGAGCTGACCATCAAACAGTCACCTCCACCCGATTGTCGGAAAGACCAAGAGCAAACGGCAGACTTATTAACTCTTGGGGGATGGTATTCTTGCTGCCAAAATTCTTCATGAAACAAGTGGACAGCCTTTGCTCCAGGTTCTTATGGAAAGGAGGTCAATCGGGTTCGGGTGGCTGCCGAGTATCATGGGAGAACATATGTAAGCCCAAGCAAGAGGGAGGACTAGGTCTCCGCCGTATCGAGGACTTCAACACCACATTCAGGTTAAAACTCATTTGGATCCTATTCTCCAAATCAGGATCTTTATGGGTAGCTTGGGTGCGTGGTAATGTGTTTAAGGTAAAAGGATTCTGGAACATGGTACCCTCTCCTCGGTTCTCATGGAATCTGCGGAAGCTCTTGGGACTGAAGGAAATAGCTCAGAAATTCCTCAGAATTAACATCGGTGATGGTGAAGGTACGCTCTTCTGGCACGACCCTTGGACATCACTAGGACCATTGATAAGATATATAGGGGATACAGGACCGCGGAGTTTCCGCATCCCGATGCTTGCCACCGTCCAAGCTGCAGTTCGAGACAACAATTGGGCACTGCCGAGCGCACGATCAGACAGGCAGCAAACATTCTTCATGCTCCTCTCGACCATTCCTCCACCAACAGCTTCAAAGGGACCTGATCAGCCACTTTGGATGCGAGCACCTGATGACTTTCGGCCGGATTTCTCGACGCGCCAAACCTGGGAACAAATCCGGCACCAGGAGGCAGAGGTTTCCTGGAAAAGCATTGTGTGGTACGCTGGGAACATACCTCGCTATGGGTTTCTAACTTGGCAGGTTATGCTTTCTAGATTGCCGACAAAAGACAGGCTAAGGCGTTGGGGCGTTACAATGGAGGCATGTTGTGTACTATGCGACGCAGCAGACGAAACTCATATTCACCTCTTCTTTGAGTGCAGCTACAGCAGCCAAGTGTGGGAGTATTTCGCTGGTTTATGCCGGCCACACCCATCACCTAGCATCTACCAAAGTGCAGATTGGATAAATGGTGCAGGAACCTTGGAAGGAAGGCAAATAAAATACATTATGAGGACTCTACTCCAAGTGACGGTCTACGAGATATGGAGGGAAAGGAACAACCGCATATTCCGTGAGAAGAGGAGAACGGTGGAACATACACGGTGGAAAGTTGATCGAACAGTCCGAAACATTTTATTATCTATCAAGCGGAAACCCCTGGATGATAGAGAGTCGAAACTTGCAACTTGGTACTACTTGACGCGAGAGATTCGAAGATAATCTAGCGTGACTTTATCTTGGATATTACCACTTTCTCATAGGTTCCATAATCTTTTGTAAGGAAACAATTGATGTTTTTGAAACTCTTTTGGTATACAATATAAATCACCTTAAAACAAAAAAAAAACGGATTCGAGTTAGGCTGACATGACCCGATTAATGTTTCAATTATATATATATATAGGTAAATACATATACATATATATACATATGCATATATATATATATATATTCACACATTCAATCATATAAATATATATATATATACACATTTATCCATTGAATCTTATATATAATATAGAGAGAATTAAAAAAAATTAAAAAAAAATAATACTAAATAATTTATAATATAATATTTTAATAGATAATATATTCAAAATCACAATATCATTAGTTTCAAATAATTATTTGGATATATAAAGAAAAATCTCAAAAACAAATATCTGAATTTGCCAATTTTCACAAAAAAAATATAAACTTTATTTTTTACTAAATAAAATCTCAACTTGATTCTTGAGTTGATAATAAATCTGAATTTTATAACTGTTATCACTTTTAAACCCGAATACTGATATAACATACTGATATCCTATATGACAAATCCACACTTTGATCACATTTGAGACGTCATCATCTACATATTCAACTTCATATCTATGTCATTTTTATAAAAAAAATTAAATAAAATAAAAAATATACATATATATGTACATATATAAGATGTGTATATGTATATATATATTTGTATCGATTTATATTTATATGTGTTTATATGGGTGTATATATATATATATATGTGTGTGTGAATGCACATATGTATACATATGTATGTATACATCATACACTAATACATACATGCATATATTTATGTGTGTATGAAAGTATATATAGATATATATGTATATATGTATATATGTGTATAAGCATGTATATATATGTGTATGTGTGTACATATATGTATGTGTATATATGTGTATATGTATTTTCCGTTTTTGTTTTTTGGATTTTTAAATAAAAATTATATGAAAAAGTTGTATATGTAGATGATGATGTGTTCAAAGTGTAGACTTGTCGGATAGAATATCGGTACGACATGTCAGCTTTCGAGTTTGAAAACAATATTTATAAAGTTCAGATTTATTTTTAATTCAAGAATCAAATTGGAGTTTTATTTGGCACAAAAAGTTTATTTTTTTTTTTTGGAAAAAATGACAAATGGAATAACAAATCAACCTAAAGCAAGCTCGGAAGAGAATGCCGACGACAAGCCACCTGAATAGATTTTGGTGGTGACCGGCCATTGAAAGGTACTTGCTAAAGAAGTATGGAAATCATTACGATCTACACAAAATAGGGTGGATTCGTACAGACAACTTGATTTCAAACACCAAAACATAGTTCCATAGCATACTTGATCGCCATCCAACAAGGGGAGTTGCATCAAACACATCTTGTTTGTTTTGTGGAAGAGAAGTAGAAAGCAGAAACCACGTCCTATTTGATTGTCATATAATCAGGGATATGTTCCATTTCTCAATGAGGAAGTGGGGATCTGTTCCTAGGCAAACATCGTGGAATGGCATACACGTTTTTGATGTGCAAGTGTTTTACTCACGATTACAGAACCCTTTAACAAAAAAAAAAAAAGAGAGAATGAAGGGTAAAATCCAAATATGAATGACGTCAAAAATTTGATCGTGTTTATCTAAATAATGGTCAAGTGTAAACAAAATAATAACTACAAAGATACACAGATTGCCTATAGTATCGGAATCGAATTAATTAGAATATTTTAAAAAATATGAAATATTTTTATAAATTTATTTATTTTTAATTATGATCTGATCTAAACTAAATAAAATTATTAAAAAATAACACATATTAATATATATATATATGTATATATATTAAAATATCTATTGAACATGACTTTTCAGCTTTGCATGTGATGGTGGGTTTAAGGTTAGATTGTTTTTATTAAAAAAATATATATATATCTGAAAATTTTTGAACTTGTAATTTGGTGTAATATTAATTCATTAATTTGTAGGTGCGCCTATTATTCCCACCAAACTTGTATTTTTCACCACAGTAATTCCTAAACTTGTTTAACAGTTCCATAATCGTCCATACCACTAATTGACCAAAACAAAATTTAGGAATTATTGTGTTCAAAAAACAAGTTTAGGATATACTGTGTTCAAAAATGCAAGTTCAGGAATTACTATGTTTAAAAATACAAATTCAAAAATAAATAGGCGCATCTCCAAGTTCAGAAATTAATATTACACCAAATTACAAATTTAAGAATTTTATCCTAAAAAAATAAAGTTAAAGATTATTTTGGATAACTTACCATAAAAAATATATTTTATAAATACACAAAAATTATCAAAATATATTTTTATTTTTTACACGCTCACGCAAATTTTCTCTTATTTTTTTTATCTTAGAAAGAAATAATTTATAAAATTGACAAAGAAAGAAAAATTAAAAACAATTCGCTCTCTCCACTTTTTTCTCCGTCATATTCATACGAAAATCTCAAATCTACTATAAAACCCTCTTTTATTAAAAAAATATTAAAAATGTTTATAAAATTATTTATTTTTATTTTTATAATATGATTTAAACTAAATAAAATATAAAAATAACAAATATATATTAAAATAATATATTGAACAGGCCTCCCAAAATTATGAGATGGCTTCACATGTGATGCTAGGTTTGAGGCTAGATTGCTAATCTAACAAATATGTTTTTATTAAAAAAAAGTAAAGTTAAAAGGTTATTTTGTAGAATAAAATCTTAACAAACTAAATACAATATTATTTTTATAATATCCCTAATAAGAAATAAATCATTTCTAAAACTGAAAAAGAAAGAAAAAATAAAAGCAGTTCGTCTCTGCACCTTTATCTCCATCATATTCATATGAAAATCTCAAATCTTCTACAAAGCCCTCTTTTATTACTTAAAGTGTTAATTGAAATGCAATATAAGATTTCTAAAACTGAAAATGAATGATTTGAAAGCATGTATCTCAGAAGCGGGGCTTGTGGATATCACTAGCAGAGGGAACAAATACACGTGGTGTAACCTGAACCAAGGAAATCCCCTCTCTGTAAAGCTAGACCGTGCAATGGGGAACAGAATATGGATGCAGAAATATCCGGATATATATGCAGAATTTGATATGTCAGGGCCATCAGACCACAGCCCCTGCATCATCAACATCCCGACTAGTGACCATGGACGACGCCCCTTCAAGTTTTTCCATCATCTGATGCTTCATCCCAAGTATCTAGAAACGGTAAGGAATAACTGGTTAGTGTCTGTTGGCGCAGGCACAAAGCAGTATCGCCTTTGCCGAGCTCTACATCAACTCAAGCGACCCTTGCGGAATCTGAACACAAAGGAATACAGTGACATTACTAATCGAGTAAACACACTCAGAGAAGAGCTCAAGGTACTCCAATCTGAAATGCTAAATGCACCCTCGGAGCACATCATCACCGAAGAGAAGAGGATGCGAGAGAAATGGTTGAATCTGACAATGGCTGAAGAAACCTTCTTCCGGCAAAAATCTCGGGTTAGGTGGTTGGAAGCGGGTGACAAAAATACCAAGTTTTTCTTCAACGTCACTAAAACTAGGGCTTCGAAGAATCACATACACTGTTGGAAATATGGATCAAGCTTCTCTTTGTTGCAGAAGAAAATGATGTGGAAGAAGCACGTACTAGTTGCATGGAAGGAAAAGGAGTTATCAATCAGTTTGTGAAGCAGTTTTTATTAGTGTGCAGTTTAGATTTGTTGTCTTTAGTAACTGAATGCCGGTTAATCAGATTGTGTTATAAATATGTGTGTTAAGGGCTGTAAGTTTTTTATTGCAGATTGGTCTTTCTCTGTAATCCTCTCTTTTGAGAGTTTCGTGTGTATAAATATTTGTTATGTGAAAGTATTTCGATTTATAAAAGTCAACATACACTACCTCATTGATGAGAATGGGCAGAGAATTGAGACAAGAGATGATATCAAAGCGCATGCAGTGAATTTCAACTCTTCGCTCATTGGGCCAGAGACAGGTCACACATCAGCCCCCTCTGTTGACTTTCTCCGAGAACTTATGGGTAGGAGCATTGAACCTCATATGGGAGCCAGTATAACGGGGATTCCAACCGAAGCCGAGATCAGGGAAATTTTACACTTCATGCCTAATAACAAAGCACCGGACCGGATGGCTATACCAAGGAGTTCTTTGTGTCGTCTTGGGAAGTAACTGGGAGAGAGTTAGTTGGAGCAGTGCAGGAATTCTTCGGTTCAGGACAACTTTTGAGACAGCTTAATGCCACCATTATCACCCTAGTCCCGAAGAAACAAGGAGCAGTATCACTGGCAGACTACAGGCCAATTAGTTGTTGTAACGTTGTGTATAAGATTATCTCGACAATCCTAACAAAGAGGATGAAGCCATTGGTTCAGAATCTGATTTCACACAATCAAACAGCTTTCACCAAAGGACGCCTAATGCTGGAAAACATTCTTCTAGGAACGGAGATAATCAGAGATTACAACAGGAGAACTTCTGAAAAAGGGGCGGCAATCAAGTTGGACATTAGAAAGGCTTTTGACACGGTGAACTGGACTTTTATCCTCCGCATACTAACTACAGTTGGTTTTCCTCCTACATTCATTTGCTGGATTGAAGCGTGCATCACCACCCCTCGGTTTTCGGTCTCAATCAACGGAGAACTTGCAGGGTTCTTCAAGAGTGGTAGAGGGCTCACGCAAGGAGACCCTATTTCCCCCTACCTCTTCATACTAGCCATTGAAGTCCTATCCCGGATGTTGGACAAAGCGGCCAGGTTGGACAAACTCAAGCTACACCAAAAGTGTAAACGGCCTGTAATCACACATCTAGCTTTTGCTGATGATGTGATGGTGTTTACTAAGGCGGAGGCTGCATCATTACAAGAGGTCAGCAGGGTACTCGCAGAATATGGCGATATGTCGGGACTCCGAGTTAACATGGAAAAAACAGAAATATTTTTCTGTGGTGTTGATGATCAGGAGGCAGAAAATCTAACATCAGTATTGCGCTATAGGATTGGTTCTCTGCCAATCCGTTATCTTGGAGTACCACTAAGCCCCTGGAAACCTTCACGGCATGATTATCGAGGCCTCGTGGAGAAAATAAAAACAAAACTCAGCTCTTGGACTAACCATTTTCTATCTCGTGCAGGCCGAATATTACTAATACGGTCTGTTATCTATGGGTTGGTTAGTTTATGGAGTTCGGTCTTCCTTTTGCCAAAGACTGCCCTCAAGGAGATCAACTCACTCTGCTCGAGCTTCCTCTGGGCTACGGCTGGCCGCGAATCTTGTCGATACCATGCAAGGGTTGCTTGGGTGATATCTGTCGACCCAAATCTGAAGGAGGCCTTGGGATACGAAGCTTGTTAGATGTTAATGTGGTACATAGACTTAAGTTATCATGGCTTATTTTTAGCAAAACAGACTCTCTTTGGAATTCTTGGCTGAAGCACAATATCTGGAAAAAGAAAGGCTATTGGGAAGTTACTCAATCACCAAGATACTCATGGAATCTCCGGAAGCTGCTATCGATTCGTCCAACCGTTAAAAATTAATTCATCAAGTTTTATATTGGGAATGGCCAAACTGCACAGTTCTGGCACGACCCTGGCTTTATGATAGGCCACTCATTGATATCGCAGGAGTGGATGGTCCTAGACAGCTATGGATACATCGGGAGAGTTCGGTCAATGGAGCTTTTAGGGACGGTGGCTGGCAGATTTATGGAGCGTGATCGGACAGGTTGCAACAAGTCCTTGTTGCTCTCACAGAAGCGCAACAACCATCTGACGACGCGGACATGATATATCTCTTTGGCGACATGCAAATGGTGAGCATAAAAACTGGTTTTCCACTTCGGCTACTTGGAAACAGATTCGGCAACGGGTTACGGAGGTATCTTGGCATGGACTTGTTTGGTTCAAGTGCTCTGTACCTCGCTTTTCCTTTTTGCTGTGGGAAATCATGCTTCATAGGTTGCCCACGAGAGATCGTCTGCTACGTTGGGGAATGCAAATAGACCCCATTTGTGTACTTTGTGAAGCTGCTCCGGAATCGCACTCTCATCTCTTCTTTGAGTGTACCTACAGTGCATTCATATGGCAGACACTAGGCGGCTTGTGTTGAGAATCGCCTCCAGCAACCATCACCCACTGCGGAAATTGGATTGATAATGCAGGAAATGAACGAAAAAACAGCAGAATGCTACTAGCCAAGCTCCTCTTACAGATCACGGCATATCAGATCTGGAAGGAAAGAAATCAAAGGATCTTCTCCGGCAAGCAGGTACCAAATACTGTTTTGCGGGATCATATTGACAGAATTATGAGGAACACCCTACTATCCACTAAGCAAGTTGATCCACGAGACAATGTTTCTTCACTTGAGCATTGGTTTTACCTTTCTGCACGCATCCGATCGCAGCTGCATCAGACATAATTTTGGAACTTCTCTTGTGACATGTGACATGGTATCCCATTTTGTACAGGCTGGTTTTGTAATCTAACTTTTATATTTATATAATATTTACCTTTTTACCAATATATATATATATATATATATATATAAGATTATTAAATTGCAAAACGGACCCACGTAAAAAAAATTGGAAAAATCTACATGATCAACTACGTAATAATTGTTTCCGAAATTCAAAAGAATTAACCAGTGATATTATTTGTAATTTATTGAATACAGCGAGGCTTTCGATCTTCGGTTCATTCGAGCATCGTATTTATTTTTCTTAAACTCATTTTAACTAGACATTTTAATTCCAGTTAAAAAAATAGTACAAGTGACCAATATCTTTTTTATTTTCGGCAAATTTCCTCAATTATAAAACCACAAACATGACGTGGCAACCTCGTACTTCAACAAGCTTGCGTGATTTTGGAAAGAAAGACGAAGAGACAAAAGGAAAAAAGAGGATGAGATAATCATCCCCAGGAGAGGAAGATGATGGAATTCGCGAGGCCAGACTGCTCGAAGGTTTGGTTGGAACCGTAGTCGATGGCGTTGGATGAACCAGGGGTCCTCGTCTCTACCAGCTTGAACGGCTGCTTCATCTCCGATTCCTGAATCTGGGCGTAGCAGAACGACCAAAGAAGCTGAATGGGTTCTGTTTTCAGGAAGGTCCTCATGAGCCTTCGTCCATCTGGAAAGCGAAAACCGACTCTGCACAGCACGCGGGGATCACCCGTGATTGGTTCTTGAGGAAGAGGAGGAAACATGGGCATGGCGTTAGCTTGGTCTTTTTCAGATAAAGTCAGCGTCTCTAATGAAGCAGTTGCAGTTTCGGACAAAGGTTTCTCTGTCTCCAATGAAGGCTTTTGTTCCTCTGTGGTCGACGTCGGGTGTTGTTTCTTACGAAGAAGTTGCTGTTTAGGGCCATCGTCCATGAAAGGTACTAATTCCTCAAGCAAGATCTCGCCTTCGACCATTCCATACCACAGACGCATCTTTTGCCCAGTTATCGGATCAATCAAAAGAACCGCAGGCAGGGTTTCGATCTTGTAGAATGTATGAATCTTCTGACCACCAGTAGTGTCGTGTTCAACCTGCAAGAAGACGAAGTTGTTCTTGATGGTTTCCGAAACGACCTCGTCCCCCCACGTGTCTCGATTAAGCGTATGAGAGGCGAACTCCTTTCTGGATTGCAGATTCACGAGAAGCCATTTGTCCTCATCAGAAGCAGCAGATTTCGCTTGATGGAGTGACCCATTGAACATCAGATCAAAAGGAGGCTTGTACAAGGAGGCCAATAAGTCCCCGGTAGATCTTGATGAATCCCCTCCTTGTTCTTGTTCCCACATCGGATCGTGCATCAATGGAGCATTAACTTCGTCTTCTTCTACATGATCCTTCTGATTTCCCGAGTAGAATAAGAGGACAGCTTCGCCAAGGTTCCAGCTTGTCGCTTGCAGGAACCGTCGGGCGGTGGTAACGGTCTCTCCGACCGTGATCTCGAGGAAGGAAGACACCAGTCTTCGTTGTTCATTCTCAGACATCATCGATCTTTTCCGATTTGCAGAAACTTTACTAAAAAAATTTCTGAATGATCTGTGAAAGCCATTCATGTGTTATTTATATAGGCTCCACAAGAAGACCCAATCGGATTAAGAGGTGGAGAAGCAGAATTCCCACGATCGAGGAAGAGGACAAACAGCCAAAAACTAAAAATTTCCTATTTTTTACGGAATATTTTCCATTTTCTTTAAATAAAAACGAAAGTTTTCCTTTTTCTTTCAAAAATTAAATAAATAAAATGGAAACTTGAAGGAGTAGAGAAGTCGAATCCCGCCAGGAGAAGCAACGGCAAGATTTTCCTTTTTTTCCCTTAATTTTATTTGACCGTACCAAATATTTTGTACGGTCCGCCCAAAAAACAATATATTCCGTACGGTTCTGGACATTTCTAACATGAACCGAACTCGCACACATGACACATTCCATCTGTACATACACGGATGTGTATTCATATGCACATATATATATATATACACATACACTTCCAATACTCATGACGTTAACATATATATATATATATATATATATATTAAGGCATATGAATATATTTATATTACGACATATTCATTTACATCTTGTTATATATATAGACATATTTTGTAACACTAATAATACAATATAAAGTATAATTTATTTTCCTTGCATAAGACGCCGGAGATTTTCGTTTCTCTTTGATTGTTCCGACATTGGAAAAGTCTCCACAAGTATATAAAGTTTTTAACTTGTGATATTTTCATCAAAACCCATTATATAAAGAAAAATGTAGAAAAAGATAATAGATAATATATGAAAGAGAAAGAGAAAATGAAATTTGTATAACTAAAATTATAATCAAACAAACAAATACCCAGATAAAAAATTGATTCAGTTATAATCTAAAAATACAATACAAATTCGAACAACCACCGTTATAGACAATGTTTGATCCTCTGTGTCAAGGTTTATATATTTTCTATGTGATAATGGAAGTGTGATGTTTTGGTCCAAATTTTAGAAAAGGCTACAAGTAACAAACAAGATAAGGATTTCCTTATATATTTTTATTGAGTAACCGGGTATGTTAGACCGAGGTATACATTAATTTTGGGATCGGAAATAAATCTTCCAAATTTTTAAAACTCGAATTCATGATGAGATAGACATTTTGTATTCCGCTTTACCAGTTGAATCAACCAAGTCAGTTGAGAACAAAATAAGTTATCTAGTCCTCATTCGTATTAATCACTCAAATATTTAATTCTTCATCTTTAAGATCCATATTTTATAACAATAATAATAATAACGCTATTTTTTAAATATATATTCATATTTCCTGTAAAATTGGATGTCATATTCAGAACATATATTTTTTTTTCACGGAGAAAATTGGGAGAGGCAAAAACACGTGCCGCCATTTCCTATAACGTAACGTTGTCAAAATTTCAATGAATAGAGCCGACCATTGATGGAGAGTGAATAACTTTTGTCAAAATTTAGTTCACCCACAACAACACGTGTCGAAATCTCTTACATGATTAATTATCAATGATTATTATTATTATTATTATTATTATATAAGGAGTTCCAGCTTTTATGTTATATCGATTTTTAGCATCTTCGTTTTGTAAACAATTTCTACAATGCATCATTCTTTCCCTTATCGTTTATCGTTTTCTTTCTTTATGTTCTTAGCTGTTTCGGCTAATGAACCGTCGTACATCGGTTTGGGTTCAAAGTTATTAGCCGCTGAACCCAACCGGGCATGGGTTTCTCCAAATGGTACTTTCGCATTCGGATTTACCCGGTCCGACCTAACCGACCGGTTTATACTCGGTATTTGGTTCGCCCAACTTCCCGGCGATCGAATCATCGTTTGGTCTCCAAACAGGTATGCGTTCTTATGTGAGTTTGTACTGTTCGGTATAGTACGAAGTTCCTCCATTTTCGATTGTTCCTGAAAAGAATAATTATTTAATTTCGGTTTCTGTTAAAATTTGATTTTGTTTCTCTTAAAAAGTTTGCTTAGTTTTCTGTATCCGTTAGGATTTAGTTCAGGTTCTGTATATTTGGTTTTTAAAGAAAATACTATCAAAATAAATAAAATAATTTCTCATAATTATCAATAATAATATTAATAATCTCTCAATGTATAATTTACATAAAATCTCGTTTTGTTACAGTCTATCACGACGTTTATAATAAAAAATCCTAATAATCTAAAATATAGAGACCATCCAGTCACAAAAGGAGCAAACTTGGAGCTAGATATCACCGGAAATCTAGTCCTCTCCGACCAAACCACCGTCTTCTGGTCCTCCAACACATCGAACCGCGGCGTGGAATCAGCCGTCATGTCCGAATCCGGCAACCTCTTCCTCCTGGTCGGATCCACCGCCACCACTACGTCACCTCGTCCGCCGATATGGCAAAGCTTCTCTCACCCTTCCGACACTCTCCTCCCGAACCAGCCCTTAACGGTCTCTCTCGAACTCACCTCACCCACTCGAAATGGCCATTACTCTCTCAAAATGCTCCAACAACACACTTCTCTTACGCTCGGTTTAACTTACAGTATCAATAACCCTCGCGCGAACTATTCCTATTGGTCCGGACCTGAGATTTCCAATGTTACCGGAGATGTCACCGCAGTTTTAGATGATTCGGGGAGCTTCATGATTCTGTACGGAGAATCTTCCGCAGGAGCAGTGTACGTTTACAAGAATGAAACGGAGGATAACCGTGGTTATAACAACGACAACAACAACAATACGGATAATCTCCGATTTTCTGGTAAACCGGTTCTCAGGAGATTGGTATTGGAGAGCAACGGTAATCTCCGGTTATACAGGTGGGACAACGACGTCAACGGTTCACGGCAATGGGTGGCAGAGTGGGCAGCTGTTTCGAACCCGTGTAACGTGGCTGGTATTTGTGGTTACGGGGTATGTAGTTTGGACCGGTCCAAGAAAAATGCAGATTGCTTATGCTTACCAGGTTCAGTTAAGCTCCCTAGCCAAGAAGACGGCAATGTGTGTTCAGACAACTCGTCATTGGTTCAAGAATGCCAGAATAGTGACCGTAACGGCACATTCAAGATCTCGACGGTCCAAGAAACAAACTATTATTTCTCGGAACGCTCAGTCGTAGCAAACTACAGTGATATGGATAACGCAAGCAGGTGTGGAGAGATGTGTTTGATGGACTGCAAGTGTTTGGCTTCAGTGTACGGTCTAGATGATGAGAAACCATATTGTTGGATCCTAAAGAGTCTTGATTTCGGAGGATTCAAAGATCCCGGTTCGACCCTTTTCGTGAGAACAAGGGCTAATGGATCAAAGTCTTATAACAATCACCCGAAATCCGATGGAAATGATGAAGTGAAGGAGAAGGTTTTGGTGATTCCTATAGTTGTGGGGATGGTGGTTCTCGTTGGATTACTTGGCTGCTTATTGTATTACAATTTGGACAAGAAGAAGAAGATGAAAAGATCTATGAACCCTCTGATCCTCAGTGATTCTCCAGTTAACTTCACTTACCGCGATCTACAAATCTTTACCGACAGTTTCTCCCAACTCCTCGGTGCAGGTCAGATCCTGTCTTTGTCTCAAAGCTTTAGGGTCACTGCTTGTATATACTATCTAACACGTGCCAGCGTTTTCACCGTGGCAGGGGGATTTGGGAGCGTATACAAAGGGAGTCTAGCAGGAGGAACGCTGGTTGCGGTGAAGAAGCTAGAGAGAGTGCTGTCGCACGGAGAAAGAGAGTTCGTCACTGAAGTGAATACAATAGGTTCGATGCATCACATGAACCTTGTTCGCTTGTGTGGTTACTGCTCTGAAGGATCACACCGGTAAGCAAGCATATCTATCTACGTACGTCTACCATTTCTGTCTTATTACAATGGATCATCAAGCTAGGACAACCTCGTACGTCAACGTAACTGATAAGGGTACCCTATGTTATGGTGATTATGCTGAAGTTTAAAAAATTAGATAAATATGATTATGAAAAGTTAAAATAAGATAGGAGTATTTGAGTTTGGTCAATAAATGATAATTAAGTGTCTTAATTAAGCGTGGAGATTTGTAGTATAAAATAAGGCAATTGGAAAGGAGAAATCAAGAAAAAAGATTGAAACATTTCACTCTTCCACAATATTTCTAAATCCGGCTGCAGATCATTAAACGATCATGTTTTCAAATGCAGACTTCTCGTTTACGAGTTCATGAAAAACGGGTCGTTGGACAAATGGATATTCCCCACGGGCACGAGCCGGACAAGGTTGTTAGACTGGCAAACACGTTTCAGTATCGCAGTAGCAACGGCGCAGGGGATCGCATACTTCCATGAGCAATGCCGGAACAGGATCATACACTGCGACATAAAACCCGAGAACATCTTACTCGACGATAATTTCTGCCCCAAGATATCGGATTTCGGGCTGGCGAAACTGATGGGAAGAGAGCAAAACTCGCACGTTGTGACGATGGTGAGAGGGACGAGAGGGTATTTGGCTCCCGAGTGGGTGAGTAATCGGCCGATTACAGTGAAGGCCGATGTTTATAGCTATGGAATGCTTCTTCTGGAGATTGTCGGCGGAAGAAGAAACCTTGACATGTCCTTTGATTCTGAAGATTTCTTCTTTCCCGGATTAGCTTTCAAGGTAAACAAACACTTCTCCATGCATGTTACCTAACCCGAAAACATCAACCCGAACCCAAACCAAAATTTCGGGTTTAAGATGTATTAAAACCCAATCTTTATTCCGTTATAAGACGGGTACCGGACCCTCGGTTTGAAATGGGTATCCGAAATTCGGATATTTTGGCCCACCCCTACAAATAAGACCAGATCTTTATACATGCAACATATACGATTTAAAGAACATATTAAGAAGTATTTTAGGGTTTAGGTTTCAAGAGCACGGTATCCAAGTAAAGACATACAAGTAAGGATCTTGTCTGGACCATTTCTTGTACTAATAAACGCAGGAAATGAGCAAGGGGACAGCCATGGAAGCTGCGGACAGGAGACTTAAAGGAGCAGCGGACGAAGAGGAAGTAACGAAAGCACTGAAGGTAGCATTCTGGTGCATACAAGACGAGGTGGGGATGAGGCCATCGATGGGGGAAGTGGTGAAGCTTCTAGAAGGTTCTGCTGACGACATAAACGCTCCGCCGATGCCGCAGACGGTGATAGAACTCATAGAAGAAGGTCTGGAAAATGTTTACAGGGCGATGAAGAGAGAGTTCAATCACCACCTTATGAGTTCTTTCACTGTTAATACCACCACCACCTCTGCCAGTTCCCTTTCTCATGCTACTTGTAGTCACTCTTCCATGTCTCCTAGGTAGTTTTTTTTAAGTTATGTCATAACGACAACGATATTTTTTCTTCTGTGTTTATAACTTTTGATTTTTTTTTCTATTGTGTGGAAAGTTTCTGAATAATTCAGCACCAATTCTAAAATAGTGTTGGTATTAACCAATTGAAAATGCGAAACATCATCAAAGCCAAATTAAAATGATCTATTTTGTTAAAAGGGCAAAATAAATAAAAATGATGTAATAACAAAAAAATTCCAAATCAGTTGGTGCGCAATGCAAGATTTGCTTAAAACCATTCAGTGTAAGCCACGTCATCACCGTCAAGCAATAGACACCTTTCCGATGATTTGAATCGGTCATGTCCCTTCGAAAAGTCTGCTCCGCAATCTTTCTCTCCCCCCTTATCAGGAGCGCAACCTTTCACCGAGAAAACCAGAGAAGCATTTCACCGAGAAAACCAGAGAAGCAGAGAGAAAACAGAGAGAGAGAGAAAGAAAGAGCTGAGAAAAATTTCTTTCTGTTTTCATTAACTTCCAATCTGTACATAGCTGAGTATATATAACATTACAGGTTGTACAACTGGCATAACTGCCTAACGAGAACCGTTATTTACACTCTAATATCCTCTCTTCAAGTCTGTATCTGGCGGAAGATAAAGACTTGAAGTCTGTAATCCTTGTAACAATGAATGAAATACAGAGGGTTGCAGAGGCTTTGTGAAAATATCTGCTAATTGATTAGCAGTCTTGACATGCATCAGTTTGACGAATCCACCTTTTAACTTGTCTCGAATCAAATGGCAATCTATTTCAATATGTTTCGTTCTTTCATGAAACATTTGGTTAGACGCCAAATGAATTGCCGATTTGTTATCACAATACATGACAGCTGGTGAATAACCTGAACTTGAAAATCTGTAAGCAAATGATCAAGCCAAGTTAACTCACAGGTTGTATTTGCCAATGCTCTGTATTCAGCCTCGGTACTGCTTCTTGAAACGGTGTGTTGCTTCTTGGCCTTCCACGAAATTAGAGACGAACCAAGAAACACACAGAATCCACTGACAGATCTTCTAGTTTCAGGACACTGAGCCCAATCAGCATCTCCAAAAGCCTTCAATTGCATATCAGAATTTACTGAATAGAAGAGACCCTGACCTGGATTTGACTTCAAATATCGAACCACTCTCTGAGCTGCCTTCATATGAGCTTCAGTTGGTTAATGCATAAACAGACTTAGTTTATGAACCGCAAAAGCAATGTCTGGTCTTGTTATTGTGAGATATAACAGACGTCCCACAAGTGCTCTGTATGGTGTTAAATCCACCAATGTAGGTCCTGTCTCCTTATGTGAAGAAACATTCGGATCCAAGGGAACCGTAACAGGTTTAGATCCAATCAATCCTGTATCAGAAATCAATTCCAGACAGTATTTTCTTTGACTCACAGAAATTCCTTGCGATGAACGAGCTATTTCAAGTCCCAGAAAGAACTTGAGTGGTCCCAGGTCTTTGATCTTGAAGTGTGATCTAAGCAGAATCTTTAAGGCTTCCTCAGCAGCTGTATCATTACTAGCTATGATTATATCATCAACATAAACTAGTAATGCTACCATAGACTTGCCTTGTTTTCAAATGAAGAGTGTATGATCTGCTTGAGATTGAATGTACCGTGCAGCCAAAAGGACACTATTGAATTTTTGATACCACTGTCGAGATGCTTGCTGAAGCCCATACAACGATTTCTGCAATTTACAGACTGGTCGAGGCGGCAAACTCCCACTTGAAGTATCCGTGTAACCAGGAGGCAAACTCATGTAGATTTCTTCCTCAAGATCACCATGCAAGAAGGCATTTGTCACATCCATCTGAGTTAAACTCCATTTCTGAGTTGCAGCAAGAGCAAGCAATAACTTGACAGTTACAAGTTTTGCAACTGGTGAGAAAGTGTCTATAAAGTCTACACCTTCTTGTTGAGTGAAGCCCTTAGCTACCAAGCGAGCTTTAAAACGTTCAACTGTTCCATCCGGGTTTCTCTTAATCTTGTAGACCCACTTACACCCAACTGGCTTTTTGTCCTTAGGCAAAGAAACCACTGACCAAGTACCATTCCCAGTCAAGGATTTCAATTCAACATCCATGGCCTCTCTCCAACGTTCAAAAGATACAGCTTCTCGGAAAGATTTAGGTTCGGTTTCAGTGTTTGTGTTTAGGATAAAGTTTCTGTATGTAGGAGACAATTTGTCATAGGTAAGAACAAAGGATAAAGGGTAAAGGGAAGTGTTTAAGGGAAGTGATGTTTCATGTTTTGCAGCATAACAATGATATTGCTACAAATATGAAGGTGGATGAGTACTCCTTTTGGGTCTTTGAGAAGCTGTATCTCCAGTAGTATGTGGTATTTCAGAAACTGTATTTAGTGGTGGTTCTGTATGAACAATTTCAGTTTCAGAATTTCTGGGAGAAATATCTGAAATCTGAGGTAAAGGCAAAGGCAACACAGTGTTGGGAAAAAGGTTGGTGACAAAATCAAGAAGTGATTCTGTTGATTGCGGATTTGAATGAAAGGGGAAAATTGTTTCATGAAATACCACATTTCTTGAAATATATACCTTGTTAGTCTCTATATCCAGCAATTTGTATCCTTTATAACCTGTTGGATACCCAAGGAAAACTGATGATCTCGCTCGAGGTGTGGAAGAAACCTTCTGAGGTGCAGGGGCAGTATCCTGCGAGGGGTTGTCTGGGTTCTTCGACTGAGCAAGGGGTTTGATAGGGCAATGGTGTTGATTGTGTCCGAACTCCAAACACGTCAGGCATCGTGGGGGTAACCAGGCATAGCTAACCTCAATCTCAATGATGTCACCAGCATCATCTTCAACTTTCACAATAGAGGGCAGAATCAAGGACGCACCGAGTTGAACTTCAACCTTGACACGTGCCTCACCAATGTGAAGGGGATCGAGGCGCATTCTCTCCATATGAAGGGGTTCCCAAGCGCAGACGCAATGTAGCTAATCTCTTGCAAAGAGTACAATTCCGGTGGGATATTCCTGAGATTGATCCAAATGGGAGCTGACTGAAGTGTCGGCTTTCGGAAGGTAGATGTCGATGTCCAGTCCGAAAGAGCAAACATGACATCGGCCACTCGCCATATGCCAATTTCAAGCGCCCATTCCCTAGTAGGTAGGTTAGGGATGAAGATGAGACACGACGTGTCGTTGACGCGTCTAACTGTGATACGCACTTTCTTACCTCAAATCGGGTTAAGTGACTGGAAGATTTTAGAGACATTTGGAGCAATCTCATAAAATTGGGCGACGAGATAACTTGCCCATGTTTTCGAAGCTTCCTGAAATACCGAGCTAGGAACTCGGATTCTAGGGATTCCTTCCGCCGGAAAGTTGGATTAGTCAGTCTAGATAGATTACGCGATGTTTGTCGAAGACGCTGTGCCCAGGGGAACTGTGGTGCCGAGGTCTTAGCCGGACCTGATATCAGAGAGGAAACATTAGGGGTCGGAGAAGCCGAGCGCAACTACGATTTTGAATCCGAAGGAGTAATGGCGCGGACCGGGTCTTCGACAGCCTCCTGAGCAGGCGCCTTTGCCAGGAGAACATGGCGACTCGAAGAAGCAGGGAGAGGTGGAAAATCAGAGAGAGAGAAATTACCGGCAGTGTGAGTCGCCAACGAAGGAGACTGACGCGAAGGTATGGTGGAGTTAGGGGCGGTGGTAGCCAGAGCAGGGGCGAGAGGGCCTTCAGAGGATTTCTCCTTCGGTGAAGCCGAAGAGGAGACCGGGGAAGACTTACCATGTTTCTTCTTCTTCGCCATGGTGAGAGGCGGCCCGGCCAGCGGTGGGCTGACCGGTGGTGAGCAGCGACAACAGAGACCGGCGACCGCTAGGGTGATTGAGTTAGTTTTGCACAAGTTTTTGTGAGGAAAAATCATTGAATGGCTTGCATTGACATTGCCAGGAGTGGATTTCTAAAGCATAGCGGCGACTATTTTCCAAGAAAACATCTGAGGAAGAGTAGGACTCGAGCCACAGCAGAGTATCCAGATTCAGCTTCTGAACCAAATAGGAGGCCAAGCGACCATCATTCTGAGGATATTAGAGCATCCAACTCACACAATAATGAAGAAGCTAGGCTTTCGTCTTACAGTAAGCAGATGCTGCACCTGTTGTAAGAAATTATTGGATCGATGTCTTACTTAATATGTGTGCTTGTAGTCCCATGTTCCCATGTTTGCTACCAGTGCTTGCCCTCTTGTCGTACTTAGCTTCAGTACTTCTATCGGAGATTTAAAAAAATTCTTGATTCAAATGCTTATTTAGAGATAATAAAATAGACCTTTCCTTCTGCATAAGATGCGAATTCAGATGCTGCGTGCATGAGATATATGTTATTTTGTCTAAACTTCTAGCTTGACCGTTCACCTCTGTTTTCTTTCTTCTTCTTCTTACCTTCTGGTTTCTTGCTATAATTTCCCATTTTGTCTTTTCATAATCTTGAACTTGTGAAACTTATTGTTGGAAACGGACAGTGTGGCTCATGACTTCAGCACCAGAAGACAGAAGAAGTCAGATTGAAGATAAGGCTAGAAGTTGGTTATTAAGAAGTTATTTTTCAGACAGTTATGTATATTTCAGTTTTATGCAGTTGTTGTTTTAATTTATTATCTGTGTAAGAACGTATATGTATGTTACGATGAAAAAAGAATGAAGTTATGCTTTTGATTTAACAATCATCAGCCAAAACACTCCATTTGATTCTATTTTCAGTTTCTGAAAGAAACAACAGAGTGTTATTCGAAAATCAGAGTTGTATCAGTGGTATCAGAGCAAGAAGGAGATCTTTGCGGGATCTGTGTAAGGGAATCAGAAGTCCGAAGATATGGATTCAGTTGAAACCATGTCAGTTCCAAATCCTGTCCAATCTGCACCAATCTTCAATGGAGAAGGTTATCAGATCTGGGCAGTAAGAATGAGAGCATTTCTCGAAGGTGCAGATCTTTGGGAAGCAGTAGAAGACGAGTATGAAATCCCTCCATTACCTGCAAATCCAACCGTGACTCAGTTGAGAAACAACAGGGAAAGGGTCACGAAGAAGTCCAAGGCGAAGTCATGTATCTTTGCTGCGGTTACGCCATCAATTCTGATCAAGATTATGAATCTTGCATCTGCTAAGGCGATGTGGGATTTTCTCAAGACCGAGTATGAAGGAGATGAAAAGATAAGAGGTATGAAAGTTCTAAACCTGTTGCGAGAGTTTGAAAGGCAACAGATGAAAGAAGATGAGTCAGTGAAAGATTATGTTGACAGACTTGTTAACATAATCAACAACATCCGGATTCTGGGTACTAAGGTTGATGATGATAAGATAGTACAGAAGATTTTGGTCTCTGTTCCTGAAAAATTTGAAGCAACCATTGCATCACTGGAGAACACAAAAGAGCTGTCTGCCATAAAGCTTCCAGAAATTCTGAGTGCCCTCCAAGCACAGGAACAGAGGAGACACATGAGAAAGGAAGAATCGGTTGAAGGAGCATTGATGGCAAAGGCCAAAGGAAAAGGTTCAGGGAAGGGAAAGCAGAAGAAACAGAAACCAGAAGGAGAAATTAAGAAGCAGGGAAATTTTTCAGAGGAAGCAAACTCGAGCCAGAATTTCTCAGAGCCTTGCAAGCATTGCAACAAGAAGAATCATCCTCATTGGAGGTGCTGGAGAAACCCGAATGTCAAGTGTCGCGCTTGTAACAAGCTTGGTCACATTGAAAGATTTTGCAGAAACAAGGGAAAGCAGAATGTTGAGGCCAAGCCTGCTGAAACAACCGAAGGTGAAAACCTGTTTGTTGCCACATGTCTTACATCATGTGGTGATCGGGATGGTTGGTTGATTGATAGTGGTTGTACAAACCACATGTCTGGTGATCGAAGTCTGTTCAAAGACCTCGACACTTCTTTCAGTTCGAAAGTTAAAGTCGGAAATGGTGAATATATCACAGTTGCAGGCAAAGGAGACGTGTATATCAAGACTGCAAAGGGTGTTAAAGTTTTGCCTGACGTTTTGTATGTTCCAGATATTGATCAGAATTTGTTGAGTGTGGCTCAACTTATTTCAAGAGGGTATAAAGTCTGGTTTGGAAATGAAGAATGTATCATTGGAAATGATACCAATCCATGTCTGTTCAAGATCAGGATGAAAAACAATAGTTTTTCTTACATTCTTGATGTGAAAAGGAGTGAAGCAATGAAGGATTAGGGCATTTCCATGGTAAAGGTCTGTCACACATGGCAAGAAACAAGATGATTGAAGGTCTCCCTGAAATTCAGGTGGCTGTGACAGATTGCCAGACTTGTCCTCTTGGAAAGCAGAAGAGGTTACCTTTTAGTTCCTCGACATGGAGAGCATCCGAGAAGCTCCAACTAATCCACACTGACGTTTGTGGTCCCATGCATGTTCCATCACTGACAGGAAGCATGTACTTCTTAATCTTTATTGATGACTACTCCCGCATGTGTTGGATTTATTTTCTGAAGATGAAGTCAGAAGTTGATGAGATATTTGAAAAGTTCAAGAATGAAGTTGAGAATGAATGTGGTAAGAAGATCAAGATGATCAGATCTGATAATGGAACTGAGTATACTTCAAGTAGATTCAGATCCATTTGCGAGAATGCTGGAATCAAGCATCAGTTCTCGGTTCCCTATTCTCCACAGCAGAATGGGGTGAGTGAGAGGAAGAATCGAACCATAATGGAAATGGCTAGATGTCTACTGTATGAGAAAGGACTTCCCAAACATTTTTGGGCAGAAGCTTCAAGTACAGTTGTATTTCTTCTCAACAGGTTGTCAACCAAAGCCTTGAAGAAGCAAACCCCTTGTGAGGCTTGGACGGGGAAGAAACCAACTTGTACAAACTTCAGAATCTTTGGATGCATATGTTTCAGTTTGGTTCCTGAAGTTAAGAGAGCTAAGTTGGATGAGAAAGCAGAGAAGGGTATATTTGTTGGTTACAGTTCTGTTTCTAAAGCTTATCGAATTTACTTACCAAACTCAAATCGAGTTATAGTAAGTAGAGATGTTAAGTTTTTGGAACAAGAGAAATGGGAGTGGTCTAGTAGGTCTGAAGAGCAAATGTCAGAAGAAGAAAGTGACATGATTGATACACGAGGAGAAGAAGAACCATTGCAAGTAGCAGATGGAGACACCAGAATTGAAATAGATGATGAACCTGATGACATGCCTGTGAGAGGAACTAGATCACTCGAAGATATTTATGAGAGGTGCAACATTGCAGTAATGGAGCCCTCAAGTTATGAAGATGCTAAACTTGATCAGAAATGGAGAATTGCTATGGAAGAAGAACTGGGTATGATCAACAAGACAGGAACCTGGGTTCTAGTTGAGAGACCAGCCAAGAAAAAGGTGATTGGAGTTAAGTGGGTTTACATAACAAAGCTTAATCCGGATGGTTCAGTAAACAAGTACAAGGCCAAACTTGTGGTGAAGGGTTATGCACAAGTTTGGGGTGTGGATTTCTCTGAAACATTTGCACCTGTGGCTCGTATGGACACTGTCAGACTGTTATTGGCATTGTCTGCTCAAAATGATTGGAAAGTGTTTCACATGGATGTGAAATCAGCCTTCTTGAATGGTGATTTGAATGAGGAAACATATGTTGAACAACCAGAAGGCTTCATAGTGAAAGGACAAGAGAAGAAGGTTTACAAGTTGAAGAAGGCTCTATATGGCTTAAAACAAGCACCAAGGACCTGGTATGAGAGGATTGACAAAAGTTTCAGAAATTTGGGATTCAAGAGAAGTTTAAGTGAGCATACTCTGTATGTGAAGAAGAGTAAGGTTGGCATGGTTGTGGTGTCCCTGTACGTAGATGATCTTCTAGTTACAGGAGACAACATTTCAGAAATTAAGGAGCTGCAAACTTATCTCAGCAATGAATATGAGATG